CGTTTGTATCTATTATGAATTGTGATCGGCAAAAATTTTCAATAGTCACGTTACACGAATCGAAAGTCCACTATGCTGTCGATCGCCCGGTTTTAATTAGTGAGATTCTATCGTTGATCGGCAGACCACAAATTAAAAAATTTAAAAAAATGCCACGCCAACAAAATAGAAATAAAAAAATTGAAGCAGAAAAATACACTGAGTAAGTGTTTTAAGGATGGTGGTGGTGGTTATTGCCCACCACTCATTGTCACTCTAGTTTATCATTATAATTGCTATTACCTTTTAATTCATTTTATGACAAATTGTTTAATCACTTTGTACAGAAAGAATGATGATAATACACAAGACCTTCTCTTACTTGACGTTGTGCCACTTTCACTTGGTATGGAAATAGTTGGTGATGCTTATTACTATTATATATAAATTGATAAAATTTTAGTATTATTAATATTAATTGATTCAATCGATATTACATCAAATAGAAAAGGACGCGTCCTTCGATGAGTATTTACGTTTTTTTTATAAAAAACTTTTTCCTTACAAGTTATTTTTTCGTTGGTTAAATCATGGATCAGTTATTATCATCATTTTGTAAATAATGATGATAATGATAATGGTTTTAATTATTACAATTATTGACAATGAATGACATACACAGTGAGTCTCGGTATAGCGGATTTGGGGGTTTAGCGGATAAATTTTCAAAACCAAATTTTTCTATAACAATTTTATCTCGGTTTAACGGATTTAACGGATTTTTCATATAAATTCGGTTTATTATAAGTGACATATGTATATTAATTAGTATGGAATGTAATTTTTCAGGTCATTTTCCGAAAATTCCGACATATTCCATGCATTTTCCATACATTTTCAGCAAATTTTCAGGGCAAATATGTACATTTTCTGACTAAATTTTTATAGGGTTGGACTGGCTGGACCGGACCATTAACAACACTACAAATTCTTATTTTAATCTTATTATATTATTAATTGAATTATTCAAATCATTTGTTTTATTTGAATTACTTGGTTTATTCGCTTTATTCGTCCTATTCGAATTATTCGTTCTATTCGTTTTATTTGAATAGAAACCTTAAGTCTGGACCGCAAACAAACCGTTAACAACCCTAATTTTCAGTGTATTTTCAATGCAAAATATGCACGGAAAAGCACTCTTTTCACGTATAATTCCATATAAAAAAATTTTATAGGGCCATGATGGACCAAAGAAAAGCTGATCGTTTTATAAATCAATTAATTTCCAAGTTGAAATACTTCAACTTCATGTATAACTACCACATTCATCACAGAGATAATTTTGTTCAACAAATTGACAAAGCTAGGTCCGAAAACTGGGTTTGTTCCAGATGTCTTTTATTGTGCTGAGGATTTCCTTTATAATTTCTTTAAGAACTTCTTCCCATTGGTTCTTTCCAAGTTCCGTCATATTTTAATGACCTGAGTCTGATGTCCATCAAAGCCTGTCACAAATTCTCTATAAATTTCCCAAATAACTGATAGGTTTGGAGGTACCATTCATTATGTGGGTTTCAGGAACTTTTTTTTTTCATGGGGCAGAAAGATAGCCTACCCAACCTGCCAGCCACTGACGATAGATAATACACAAATTAATCCTTAGTGGTAAATTGATGGATCTTTAAGTTACCGACGAACCCGATTCTATTAAGAGGAATTTATTAAACCGAGAATTTTTTTTTTTGCAACATTGACTTCAGTTTAATGAGTTCTGACTGTATGTTAAAAAAAGTATTAACATAACTAAGATTTTATTATAGAACAAAACATCCTGTAGGTTTATCTCCTGACCGAAAAAAGTATATACATGAAAACGTTATTTGATGTGTGTTCAAAATAAATTTAATTTAATTCATACAGGTAATAATAATAATAATAATTTTAGAGTTATCATTTGTATTTTTTGAATAGAAATTATACTACTACTACTATACTTCCGTTTAGTTTGTATGACAGTCGGCATTAGGTTCTCAGACCGCCATTATAACAAAATCGTCACGTTGTAGTATTTATAAGAAAAGTTCGATGAGCAAAAAATATTTATCGATTTTAATTGGTTAATATTAATATTAAAAATTTTTTTTTTATGGATCTTTATCTTTTTATTATTATTATAATTAACGCTTTTGCGGTATTGTATTTAATTTATTATTAATGTGATTATAATATACAATTAATTTCACAGTCAATTGATTAATAATATTTTAAATTATAAAACGTTTATTTTATATAAATATGTGCGGACTTGTCTTTAAGCTTCCAATAATAGGATCCCATTGAATAAAATTTCAAAAGATGTTAAAAGGAGACAAGAAGGCAGATCATTTTGTTAAACTTGAGGAATTATTGGAAGAATATCCATCAATTTTCATTGTAAATGTTGATAATGTTGGCTCCAATCAAATGCAACAGATTCGTCATGTTCTTTGTAATAAAGCTATAATCTTGATGGGTAAAAATACAAGCTAGGGCAGGAGCCATAGCACCTCTTGATGTTATTTGTTCCAAGCTCTTGGAGTTCCGATCAAAATTTCTTGTGGTGCATCAGAAGCTCCATTATTGAATAAGTTAAATATATCATCATTTACTTGTGGTTTAACTAGCCATCACTCAAATATATGATGGTGGTACCATATTTCATCCTATTGAGGAATCAACTATGATTTGAACAGCATCAAACCATTGCTTCACTTTCATTACCCCTCAAAAACATCCTACCATTGCTTCTGTACCTCATTTACTTATTAATTTTTATAAGAATTTATTGACTATTTCACTTGCAACTGAATATGATTTCCAAGGTTCTGAAAAGGTAAATTAATTGATTATTTATTTATTTATTTATTTATTATGGTGTAAATTAATATATATAAAGAAAAAGAAGCCATATGATGATTTTTATTTAGATTAGGATTTATAATAAAATGACTAAAAATCTTTATATACACTCTAATTTTTTACTGATGGTTTCTAGTTTACTTTATTATATTAACTTACACACACACACACACACACACACACAAAAACAATCCTTTTCTTTCCTTGCCCTTCACTCTTTTTTTTTTTTCACCTTTTAAAAAAAATATTTACATAATATTAATTTTATAAAACAAATAATAGATTAAATAATATCTTAAGGATCCAAATGCATTTGCAGCAACAGTAACAACAACTGCTACAACAACTGAAGCTACTGAAACTAAAAGAGAAGCTGCTAAAGAGGAATCTGAAAATGAATCAGATGATGATATGGGTTTGAATTTGTTTGGTTAAAAATTATATAATAATAATAAAAAAGAAAATATATTCTTTTTAAAATCGCATTCTTTTTTTTATTATTTTTTTCAATTAATTATATATGCAAATAAATGATAAATTTTTTTATTTGTTAGTGTATTATGAAAAATGCATTATTAATATAAATAAAATCAATGGTTTTTTTCACACTCATAATAATAACAATGTTATGTATCAAATACTTCTATAAAATGTTTTAAAACTTCTTTACCAGCAGCACCCTGCAATTTATTTCTAACAATGATTGCAGCATGAGCATTCATTACATCAAGATAGACGGAATATTTTTCCCATTCTAACTTATTTAAATATTTACAACTGTCTGATTGAGCTTTAGATAGTGTAACTTGAGATGACTGTAAGGGTGTTGAGGAATTTATCATTGAATTAAATTCGTTATTATCATCACTATTGGTGCTATTACTGTTGTTGCTTTCGATATCTGATACTAATAATGTTGGAGAAGGTGGTTGACTTTGTGGTAGGATATTTTTAATATTCATTGCAGTTTCTATAGCTTCTTCCTCCATATTAGAGGTATTTATTGCAAGTTTTGTGTGATGATTAAATGTTGAATGTTCATCTTCGTTATTTTCATAACCATTATTATCATTATTTATATTAATATTAACATCACCACCGTAATTGCCATTATTACCGTCACTGCCATCAATGATTTTTTTTCTTTTCAAAATTCTCTTTACTCTTCTTCTTGATTTGATTCCTTGTATCGTTACAGTACTAAAAACTATAACAAACCAAAATGGAAATAAAATTGGCACAACCACTGTAAATAGGAAGAATCTTTTTATAAATCCAATTAATTTTTTAATTGCTGAATTTTTTTGTGGTTTTTTTGATAATGACCCTATTAATGATTGAAAATTTTCATTTTCTATTCTATATAAAAATAATATAATAAAAATTAATATGAAGCATTAATTGATTGATTGATTTGTTAATATATTAATAAATAATATCTTTGTTATCATTACATTTTCAACTGCTTAAAATCACTGTATGGATTAATTATTGAAATTGAAGCAGTCCAATAAGGCACAGTTCTATCATTCGTGGTGTTTGCATATACTCTTTTATACTTAAATAGTGAAAGAGCTTTGTAATATATTTTATCTACAAGAAAAACAAAGATAAATTAATCAATTAATATTATAATAAATGCATAAAGTAAACAATCAATTTGCATGTCCGTTCATTATTTCAAAAATTTTCACTTTATTCTAATAAAATATATGAGCAGATATTGCTTTATAAAAAAAAATAAAACAAAATAATTATCAATACCTGGATTTGACATTATTAATAATAATGGTTCATTGTTATCATAATTATCAACAAATTGTAATTGTTCACCTATATATATATTAATGATAAATTTGTCAATAAATAAATAATTATTATTTGATTTGTTAAAGAAAAAAATCACCTGCCTGTTTTTGATAAAAGTATTGATGATGACCAATTAAAGACTTTGGTCCAAATTCCATCATCTTCACGTCTTATACCTAGATGTGGAGTAGCAAATGTAGCAAAATGCTATCGTTTATATATTAAAATGTTTGAATATTCTAATTAATATTTTGTATACAAATTATTCAAAATTAATTATAATAAATAAATAAATAAATAAATAAATAAACACCAATGGTTCAATATTGTTAAAAAATCCTTGAAAATATAATATACCAATGGCATATCTTGCTATCAAACCACCAAGTGAATAACCGATTATTGAAAATTTTGTAATTTTAAAATTATTATTTTCTTGAATAATCTTTTCTTCCTTTTTAATCTATTAATTGTAATAGTAGTACTAATCTTATTAATATCAACCATAATCATATGAATAATATTAATCATAAAATAGAAAATAATAAACCTCTTCAACTAATCGATCACCACAAACATCTATACCATCATAGGTATAACCTGATTCATTACATTCAGAATTCAACTAGAAGAAAATCAAATTAGTCATGATAATGATAATTTAATAAAGAAGAGCAATAATAATAATAGATAATTACAATGTGAACATTTTCACCATGTCTCTTTTTAAATTCTTCAACAAAATATTTTAAATGTCCAGTATTTCCCCATAATCTATTTTAAATATTTTAATTAATCAAAATACGTATATATCACACGAGTAATAACAAAGCATCATCATTCATATTCATATTCAAGACTTTACCCATGAACAAATACAACAAAGTGAACTTCTTTTGGTGTGATCATTTTTGTTTTTCGGATATTATTTTTTTATTTTTTATCTGGTTTTCAGAAAAAGTCAAATATTTATATAGATGTTTTTTGCAACTATTTTAATTATTTTAATTAATTAATAAGTTAGAACAATGTTTAAATCCAAAAAAGGAAAAATGTTACCAGCCATTTGATGATCAGGAGCTTAAATTTCCCGGCCAAATTAAATTAATATGCATCCATTTTATCGATAAGGAATGGATTCGGATATTTTCATTGTATTCCAATCTCAATATAAGGAATTGATTATCCCACAGGATTTTTCGTATTACAATTAATTATTATTATTATTAACGGAAGAAAAATCCGTTGCGGCAGGAAACATCGTCACAGCGGGCGGATCTTTAGAATTTTCTTTTTTTACTCTAGACAATTAATTGAGTTGGGGATTGAATTCATCATAAGGAAACCGATACCTTTCTTAATGTCAAATATCATGAAGGAATAAAAAATCGAGTCACATGACCATCATGTACACATATTATTAATATGAGATTTTGTGTAATATGGCATTGAAAAAAATTTTATTTTCAAAATGAGCCACCTTCTTTGTAATGGCAGCAATAACTCAAAACATTACAACACCAACACCAGTAACAAGTGTTGTAATATTGTTGACAACAACAGCAACAAAATTAGCAACAACAATGACATTGATCTCGACAACATCAATTACGTCAACCACAACTGCTACAAACCAATATCATCCGTCCTTTACTTGAACAAAAAGGCATCATTGACAGAAACCTACTCTCTAATTAGGATTGGTAGCGATCCCAAGTCTGATCTTGTTATTCCGAATTCAAATCCTGCTGAACCGGTTATTGCAAAGACACACTGCTGGCTGGAGCTAGTAAGTTAACGAAAATTTAATTTAATTGCGTGCGTGAATTGTCGAATTGAAACATTCCAATTTCAAGGTCTGAATTTCAAATTCAAATTCACATTTTACTATATTATTTAATTATCATTATAACCTATTAGCGACGTCTAAACAACAAAAATCGAACAGTCTTTCATAATGGTCCTAATAAAAGAACCTACGTAGAAGGCAAATTGATGGAGCCTCACCAGCAATATTTGTTGAAGGACGGAGACAGGATTTTAGTGAAATGTAAAGATGGCTATATTGGCAAGTAGTAAAATATATTCATATATATGATTGTGTAATATCTTGATGTGTGTATATATTTATGTTTGATAAATATACATTTATAGTAATTAACTTTGTTGAAGAAAAAACTGATGATGATAGTTATGATGATTGTGATAACAAGATTGAAACGATGTTGCTGATAAGAAAAAAAAATATACTATTTACAAATAAATTGATTAATTCTAAAAATCCAATTTTAAAACAAGAGGAATTGAAGAATTATAAAGATGAACTGAAATTGATCAAGAGTGTTGATTGTGGGAGAGTACTAAGTCTTGCAGATCAACATTTTGACGATGATAGCGTTGTTCAAGTTCATTTTCAAAAAGGGGTTATTCAATATAATATACGCCCATTACAATGTGGCGCTAACAGAAGCAACAACTATAGCATAAGAAAGGTGACAATGGTTGCAGTTTTGACAATTAGTTTTTCAATTTTGGTTGGAGGATTTTTCCATTTTTTTTAAAAAAAAATTTTTGTAGTTTGGAGGGAGAGAGGCATTGAGGTGAATGAATGATGCCGTAGTTACGTAATTTTTTATTTTGTGAGTGAGAAGGGACATGAAGATTTTTTGGTGATTGTTTATAGGTATAGTTTATGAAGATAATTCAGTAGTAAAAGATTTATCTGAAGCGACGAGTTTGATGAGATGTGGATTTTCAAGGGTTGTTTCAAAAGCATCTTTGAAGTTTATATTGAAAGTGAAATCTGTGTGATCTATGAAAATTATTCGGAAGATAAGTATTTAACGAGTTCAAGTTTAATAATTTACATATTTAATTTATTTAAAGTAAAGATATTGATGGGATTGTTTCTCCTGTTAGTCTTTTATTACATGTTAATTAAATTATTAGAATATGTGAGATATAAGATTATGATTAAAGATAGCAGGTATTAAATAACTACATGTAACATTATTCAAGGTTAAGTAATGATTCTATATCATTACTTTCAATAAACTAAATTAATTAGTTTTTTTTGGTCTTGTTCGAATATAACCTAACTATTACTAGTGTTAGAATTTTGAACAAAGGGGTTATTAATATTAATGTAATATCTGGCTATTGGGACTTGCTCTCAAGATGAAATGAGGATAGTAATATATAAATTAGTTTTTTAAAAATATATTATTATAAAAATTTTTTTTTATTCTTTTATTTTAACATTAGTATCAGTATTAGATAAAAAGAAAGGAATATACAAAAGAACGTTTTTCAAATTTACATTTGATATTAGTAAAATTAAGCATTGGTATTACATCACCTAAAGCTTTAATTCAAACATGAAGTTTTTTTATTTTTTTATCTTATGCAAATTATCATTATTATTAATTCAAACAGCATAAAAATAATAAAATATATAAAATGATGAATTGACAGTAACAGAAAACAAACAAACTTCTTATAATCTCTTTTCAAAATCTTTAACCATAAAACAAGCAAGCATCCAAAGCTTTAAGAGCACTGATTGTATCAATAAGCACTAAAATAACGAGATCATTATTCACTATTTGGAAGATAAATAACACCAATTGCTCTTCCCATTAAGTTTTGCTTTACTACTATTACTATTGTTAATCAATTCCGGCGAAGTTGGTAATTTGTAGATATGGGAAATTGCATCTAAACATCACTATAATTACTCTCTTCTTGTTTTCTTTCTATTAAATGCCTACATCAATACTTTCACTTTCATAAAATTGTATTTGGAGGAAAATTTGAGCCAAATAGTGATTGTGGAACTGAAATTGATACAGAGAATTACACTTCTTTAAATGCGCTTCACACCTTTCAACAGTACAGATAATGAATTCTGCAAAATAATCACTGCGAAACAAACTGAGGCTTTGTGTAAGAGACGAACTGACATTGATCAAGATAAAAAGACATTAGAAATAAGAGAACAACTTTATAAAGAATTCATTTGGAGATTGATTAAATCAAACCTGTTATAAGATTCAAAAATACCAGAATATCTTCCGATATACAAAAATTTTTACCAATAAATTATAAATTAAGGCCTTTGGCAAAAAATGATTTTGAGAAAGGTAAAAATTGATTCAGAAAATAAATAAGATTAGAAATAGAGATCATATAAGATGATACATTATCATTATGTTTCAAATATAGGAATAATTGAATGTCCTGGGGCAACTTTCAATCATTGGAAGTCCTTAAAATCTTTTTAACATTTTAATTGACATTTAAAAAATTATCAAGAGCAAAGGTCATGTATAATTTTTATTGGATTCATAAATTTTATTAGTCAATTTGCATATAAGA